TAGGCTGGTTGTAGAGCGCACCGTAGTGCAAAGCCGTGTTCCCGTCCTGCGTCACCCGATCCAGCGTCCCCCTGCGCAAAGCCACCGGCAAGAAATTCAAGGCTCAAGAGCACAGGAGCATCGGTCCCCCGCGCTTGTGCACGCTCCTCCCCGCGGGGGAGCGGGCAGGGGAGCAGGCAGGGGACACCGCGAGCACCTGGGGACGCACCCATTCTGGATGATGAAGTCTACCAGAGGAAGGGACGATCTGTCGGCGTGGCGCACGGCCATGTGCAGCGCCAGCTCGCCCGGGTCCTGCCACAAGATGGAAGGGAGAGGAGAGGAGAGCTAGACCCAAGGATGCTTCATCTCCTCCAAGATGGAGGGGAGAAGAAAGCTGGACCTGAGGATGCTCATCTTCCCAAGGGCACATCTCCACCCAAAGGCCGGGAAAACCCTGAGCACGGGCACCCAGAGGGGGAAAATCCATTTACGCTGCCAGGCAGAGGGAGCAGGGTGGCCACGGCAGCGTGGGGCTCACCTGGCCCTCGGGGCTGGCCAGGGGCTTGGCCAGATCGTGCCCCTCGGCGAAGGCCTGGAGCAGGGCCAGGAGGTCGCGGGCACGAATGGCTTCCCAGAGGCGGTGGGGGTCGTCGCGGCCGCTTTTCTGCACGTAGCGTCGCTCCATGTACTTGGCCACGATGTACTCCTTGCGGGCAGCCCTGTGGGAAGGGCAGCATGGCATCGGCTCGGACGGGCACGGAGACCAGACCCCCTCCCGTCCCTGCCACAGCCAGAGGCACCCTAGGCTCCTGCCTCCTCCTGAAGCCTCGGGATCAGGGGGAAACCTCCAAAAAAGGTGCAGATCCCCACCAAAATCCAGGCGATGACACCAGGATCTCTCATCCCCGGGCTGTCTCAGAGCCGATGGGCAGCGGCATGGGGACAAGGACAGGTCACGCACCGCGCACTCCTCCTCCTCCTCCTCCTCCTCGTCCCAGCCCACCCCAAGGCCCCTGGCCAGCGGCCGACTCACATATCGCTGCCGGCCGAGGGCTTGGGGCAGTCCTGCGTGGGCAGCGTGGCCTCCATGATCTCGTTAAAGCGGGTGTTCCCGACGCTGACAGCCAGCTGCAGCGAGAGAGGGACCCGGGGGAGACGAGCCCTCCTGGCCGCGCTCGCCCTGCCCCAGCCAGATCCCCATCCCCATCCCGGAGGCAGAGGGAAGGAATCCACTTGGATCCACCCAGGACCTTCCCAGAGCAGCGTCTCCCCCGGGGATGATGCTCTTTCATGGCAGGGGAAGTCTGTTTTAAAAGGGAGCAAATCCTGGGGGGCTGCCAGCATTCCCCCCCCCTTAGCAAGTGGCTTTGCAGAGCCCCCCCCCCCCGGCTTGCCCAGACCACCGTGCTGGGGGCTGCGAACTGCCGCTGGGGAAACTGAGGCAAGTTTGCCAGCACTGGAGCAAACTGGGCCCAGGTGGGATGGAGCAGGAGGGATGAACTCTGCGTCCCAGGAGGTTCGGGAGCCGCAGAAGGCGATTCCCGGTGGCTGCGAGATCTCCAGGCTCGGGGAGCGGCTTACCAGCAGCTCGGAGGTGCTGAGGACGTCCAGGGTGAGGGACTGGATGCGGGAGTAATGCACGCCCAGCTCCCGATGGATGCCGGAGCACTCGATGCACGTCAGGATGCCCAGGTTGGTGGAGAGCCACGTG